TGGTGATAGAGCGCTTTTAGGAGTGAGACATACTTCTCGGATACTCCAGGGCGGTAGTGGCGCGGTGGTAACGTCACCAAAGTACCACCTCGGGGGACGTGTTCGAACCCCACCACCACCGCCTGACTTTCCCATGGTAGCCCTTTGATTGGCCGCTTCCCCCTTCCTGAAAATTGTATCATTGTATATTCAATAAAAGGAAGTAAAAATGAAAAAATGGAAAAAAAATCTCACGTGATTTTGGAGTGAGAATAGGCATTGGACAAATTTATTTTCTCAATATGTGTCTCAGACAGCAGGAGAACACTATTTTGGGCTTTGTCTGCTGAGCTCTACGCGTGCACTCGCTCGCTCACATCTCATGGAGGTGCAAACGCCCGGTGACGTCAGGGTAGTGTGTGTTACGACACTCGGTGATTCGTTCTTGTCAACTGCACTTTTATTTAAACCAGATAGTGTTCACAACTTTGCTTGTTATCCCGACCAGTTCTCATTGATGACGGGGTCAGAAATTGAGCAACTGCACAAACTGTAATGGCTTGGATCCCCGTCAACACAATCTGATGCAGCGTGCAAAACGTGTCTATAGATTTGAACTTGGACAACATTGTGTGTGTGTGTGTGTGTTTGTGAGGCTCTGCAAGTGTGATGACTGGAATTTCTGACTTGGTCATTTTTATGTTCCCCTCGTCGACAATTAGTCAGCAACAACAAAGGGGGAACCTATTGGTAGGCTCCGAAAAGAGAGAAAATCGATTCCAGGGCTTTCTTCCTTCCTTTTCTTTCCATTGTACTTCTTTATTTATTGAATAGATAATGATACAATTTTCCGGAAGGGGGAAGCGACCAATCGAACAGCTGCCTTACAACACAGAATGGGAAGGTTACGCAGGTTACGCAGATTCGAACACACGTCCTCTTGAGTGATTATTTGGTGACCTTTACCACTCGACCAACACCAACACCCGGAGTGGTGTATATCGTTACCTCGATGAACTGAGGATTGTGCGTGAAAATGAAATCTTAAGGATGGACAGTCCGAATCAATAACTCTTACTCCATATTATTATTTACAGGTATGTGTATGCCATAATCACGAGTAATCAGAAACTTAAATCCTCCGTCCAGAAACGACGCACTATATAATGCTCGATGGAATCAGACCGGTTTGAGTCGGGAGGCAGCTTCACTATCTAACACCACTGAACCAAGTAGAAATACTTTAAAGACATTTAAAAACGAAAAATAATGACGACCGAAAACAGTAGTACCAGTTATAAAAATGTAATTTTACACGCAAATGAAGATAATCAAACAATTTCATGAATAGCATTGGTTTCTCTGACCTGCACAAATCTGGTTACTAATGACAATGTTATCACTTTTGTGCATAATCAAAACTGCACTTACTTGCCCAAATCAGCACGTATCAACGGAAAATCGACAGCTATTCTCGTCTCATCTGGTTCCTGATCTGCATCACCTCCCTCGCTTTGATTTCCATCACTTGCGTGGCTTCCTCTCCCTCGGCCTTCTTCTTCTTCTTCCTCTTCTTCTCTGGCCTGGTCTTCCGCCTCCTCCTCCTCTTGTTGCTCTTCGTCATCTTCGTCCTCCTCATCATCATCATCACCGCGACTAACACGAGTTCGACCGGAATGCGTAGGTCGTTTATGCGACTGTTCGTCGTTTTCCATCTCAGAGTTCGATTGGTCCGGGGATGAGGAACTGTGACGTTGAATGCGACGCCGTGAAAAATTGTCTCCCTCATCCTCCTCACTGTCCGCCGGTTCACGACGATCCGAATGGGCCTGCACATTATCCGCACCACCGTCGGCATCAGACAGATCGGAACCCGAGTCCAGTGTTCGACGATTAGATGCCACTTTCGATCTCGGGGCGTCCTTTGAGGAACGTTTTGCGGCAGACTGTGTGTGAGCATCGTCACTACCAGTATCGCTGTTCTGAATTGAAAAAAGGTTACGCATAAAGAGCTAACTAATTTTCACTTGAATGCAAAATTTCCCTTACTGTGAAAAAGTATATCAAAATTACTTCAAGAACTACTGTTCTCATCGTAATCATGAACTGAATACGAGGCACTGTAGACAAATAGGTAGAGGATATCATATCTCAATTCGGAATACCGAACATGCATGCCTGGATTGAGAAGTTAGACACAGTGCTCCTGCGCTCAACTGCAATCTCGTGGCTCACCACATACGGTACAAAGGTGAATACCTTGACTCACCAGAGCGTTGTCCAGAAGATCAAGTTGCTTGCAATAAATTTTTTTCATACGTAAACATTACAAAGCGTCGAAAAAGCGGATGCGGAACAACTAACGACAATCGACGCCACAAGCACTAAGGTAGTATATATATATATATATATATATATATATAACACATAATCAGTTACTTAGAATTGACATGTGCCACAACATATGAAGAGGTATGGAAACGATTTAAATATAAATCAACGAATTGGAGTCTCGCAACAGGTGCCGGTTATCAGCCATGCCTGATAGTGTCTTAAGCCATAGCTATCCTTGGAACCCTAACGTAGGAGTCTAGAGCGTCCTACCACTGTCAATTTTGAGGTTAATGCCTTCATCGTTCGAGCCAAGGTTATTCGTTGTCCACCTTGTCGCCACTTTCAGTCGTTGAGCAGGCATTCGCAACACATCACAAGTCTCTCTNCTGGAACGAGATGAAGGCACTCAGATGACGACTGAGATTGTCTGAGATTCTTTGGCAAATCTCGTCGTTGGTGATTCGCTGTTGCCAACGTATTCTGGTGATCCAGGCAACGGTGACAAAAGACACCTAATCTCCGTACGTCTTCGGCGTGGAGGGGCCAACTCTCGCAGTCGTAGAGTGAGACTGCGTATTGTGACAATGTAAACGGGGTCTTTCAAGGAGAGAGAGTGAGATCGCGTCCGTGCCACAAGTGAATTAGGTTGGCGAAAGCCAAATGAGCCTTGCAGATAAGCGCTGATATTTCCTCCGTAAGTTATCTTGAGCTGAAATAACCCAAGAGATAAGTGNGATCGATGATTTCTAACTGGTAATTCATGAGCGTGAAGACGGGTGTAGCCTTTTGCCAGTCTTGTAGTAAAACCTCATATTTCAATAGGGAAAAGATCATAGCGAACTGTGTGACGGACAATGCTTAATTACACAGGACGTTTTGAGCGTTCTGTAGTATACCTTTCGACAAAAACAGTACATGTAAAGCCTCAACCTGATAAAACCCCACGCTAACAATACATATTCCTCGGAAACGTGTACCTTTTTTGTCTCAGCAACACTGAAATCTGTCTAGCGTAGAGGAAAATTTTTTCCAACAGATGAATGATTTCTCAGACTCCCTCTCCCTCGGACAAAAAGAAGCCTGGCTAGTTACAGTTTGTACAGCGTTGCACTTTGGTGTGTGCTGGTTTTAGTTGCTGCCTTCGATCAGCCATTTGGTGGACTAATGAAAAAGGAGTAAAAACAGCTGAGAGCAATAATGCATTGACAAAAAGTGCGAAGTGATTAGATGCATTAGAGTTACTGGTTACGACAAGACTCGATTATTCATCATGTTGGTTCCGAGGTGTCCAACTGGAAAATTTACTTGACTAAATTCTCTGACTGAGGTTTTCGAAAAATTCATTATCACGCCACAGCCTGATCTTCCTTTGGATTTATTCCATATATCAAATACCTCGGCGTGCTTTGGACCTTATGGTCCGAGACTCGAGTCCCGTCACCGCCACCCAACCTAAATGGTAGGCAACTCTGCTGTCGTCCCGTCCAATACCACGCCTGACCTATTGGGGCCTTGCGTGGGGTTCACCACTCCAAGTCCCGGGGTTCAGATTGCCGGTTTTCATGACTGAACATCAGGTCCTCGTGACTATGGGGGTTGTTACGTCTGCTGTTCATCACAATAAGGTGTGTAATAAAAAAGCTATCCAACGCATATCCCAACCACAGCAATTTATGAAAGCTAAGTATTTACGTCAGTGTGTCGTCGTGATACCAGTAAAAAAGGAAAACTAAGCGTACTACGACAATACTGGCAATCCTTGGGATTTCCACAAACGTCGTTCTGTGCCACAATCTCTCCTGGACTAGCCACGTAGAGAATGTTTATAACAGGATTTAATAAACTTTCTGTTTATGCTTTTAGGTTTAGGATTTTCAAATTTGTGGTCGCATGCATCCTCCTCGCTCAATGACTGTACTGTTCGTCTGTATTTTTTCCTGACTTGAAAGAAGAGGATTTCATATTAGTTTCTAGATTGATCAAACTCCTTTCCCGAACTAGTGGTTTAACCAGAAATGTTCTGGTTGATTTTATTGTGCGCGAACATATCGATGCACGTGAAAAAATAGCCGATAGCATGTTGAACAACGAAGATCACTGCTTGCACAACGAACTTCTTAAATCCATGTAAACCCCCTGCACCCGGTCCCATTATAAGCTCCTTCCGGCACGCCGCACCACAGACACAAACAGTATCCTTTCTTTTCTTGGCCTTATATTTTAGTGAACCGGGCACCGATTGTTACAGGTGTGATGGAACATCTATTGAGTTAGTTTTTTCTCTAACTATTACAATCGTATTCTTGCTCACACTGTACTGCCGTTTTGTTTACTCTCTCTCGCTACACTTCTTTGCATTTTTTCCCTGTTTCCACTGTAATCTCCTATGAAAATTGCTGAAAATTCACCCCCATTGGGTGAAACGTTCCGTTGAAACGACGAACCTCAGTCTAGTGCCTGTGTACAATCATCTGTACCACCGCAATACAGTCATGAAACTGTCCAGATGGGAGGAATAATCGAGCTCAGATCGGTCCTGCCTATCGAACATCAAAACATGGGTGACGGATGCGCAGTTTCACAGAAAAACTTTGCACATTAATAATAAAAAACGCGTGTCCAAAGAAACAGGCAACCACAGCTGGTTAGTTTTCAAGTATCCTTTAAGCGTGAGACACATTGGAAAAGACATCGTTCTACTTGAAAATATGCTCCTACCCAGAAAGAAACATGTGCACCGAGTAGATCGCATCAGTATTGACACCGCATATGTACGTAAACTTGGTGATGGCGGTGTGGTTTAGTCGCTGTCACCGGTATGCTTTGGACTCCGATGTCCGAGCACCACCATCGCCACCCCACTCTGGTGGTAGGTAGCGTTGCTGTCTTCCGGCTCCTAACCTGGTGATGCCTCACGTGGTTCACCACTTCAAGTCCCGAGGCTTAGGTTACCGTTTTCCATCAATGAACAACGGGTCCTCGTGACTGTGGGGTATACCCCATCTGTTGTTTCCCACATTAAAATGTGTCATAAGAAAATTGTTGTATATCTGCATTTCCATGTCTTCCCTTTTTCTTATAAATAAGTTTTTGGTACAACAAATAGAATCGCTATCTAGAAGAGAAACGTTACCAGAGGATGGCTATTTTTACATTCTGAAACGAGACGTTTTGTACGGCNTGTACGGCTATAACATAGGTCCACATCACAGCGCATGTCTAGAACCTGTCACCAACGCATGAATTCCCCAGTTCTTTGGTATTCATGGCAGCCGTTCCTTAGTCTCTTTTCTTAACTGTACAGTTGTATAGTTTGAAAAAAATTATGAAAATGTAAAAGCAAACAACATGACAATATCGACTGCTTGCGTGTCGCTCATACCTGGTCTGATTGGCCTAAATCACTCTCATCCGAATGACGAACAAAACGCTTTTTAGCTTTATGATCCGTCTTCTTTTTCTGTGAAACTGCTGGCGGTGACGATTGTGGGGACGGTTCATCGGATTCTTAATTGGATACTCAAAAAGGCTTAGGAGCAAAAGACTTACCTGTATCGCTTCCGAATACATCTTTCTGTGTGATTACATTTTGAGGTCGTTCATCTGCATCGTCGCTTAGTGAGTCCAGAGCGGACGAATCGGCATGCTCGTCTGCAGTTAAAAGTTGGTGCGTGAATACGCCGAGATTTGTTACCTTCCCTTTCCGGTGGGGACGCTTCAAGCTCATTCTCCGAATCCGAGCTCATACTGGGCACTCGGTTTGCTTCAGTTAGCCGAAGTAACTATCACCGATCACAATAACCTAACGTCGCAGATGGTAATTAGTAGCGAATATGTAAAATACGGTGTTGATCAAAAAATGACAGCCCCACTCTAGCGCAGCGAAACAAAGTAAGATATGATGCAATCAGACGACTGGATGAATTTAACGGTGTTGCTTTAACTTTTATTCATATGCTTGAACTATACTCACGTACGTCATTTGACCTCTATTCACATGTAGGTACAAGCAAGTATTCCGAACTTACATTATTTCGGACAGAAATGAATGTGAAAGCTATTTGTCAGACTATCGAAATGTGCGAATTTGGGAATTTCACCGTTTAAATACTAAGACTATTAAACAAACCACGGTTTAGTACTGGTATCTACTCCCTTTTTCCATTTATCAATGATCTCTCTTCTAAAACTGCCAACCCATTATTTTGCCGATGCAGCTACTCTCCACTGCTCCTTCTCCTACCACACTACTCGCCACACCTAAACCAACATTGATGGTGACCGTAGTGCAGTTAATGTGTCACGGGACACCGATCTTGAACACATCTCCTCTTGGGGCAATGCCAACCACGTTTCTTCGATGCTTGTTTTTTGTATGTTATTACACACTTCTCGTGTGATGAACAGCAAACGAGGTAAACTTCATAGTCAGTGATGGTAACCTTACTCCCGGGACTTGAAGTGGTGAACCACATTAGGCCCCACTAGGTTAGGCGTGGTACTGAACCGGATGACAGCAAAGCTGCCTACCACTAAAGTGGAGCGGTGGTGGTGGGGCTTGAACCTCAGACCATAGGGTCCAAAGCACGCCGGTGACAGCGACTAAACCACTGCGCCCCCCCCCCTTGAGATGATCCTAACGAGAACCATGCCCAGAAAACACAGACTAGGAAACGAGGACAGTCCTCTAGGTCGTAAAGGAACGGGGCTCACAGCAGGAAGATTGGTCTACCTTGACGAACCCTACGATCCGTGGAGTGCCAACCGGTCATGTCCTCTCCGAAGGGAGTAGTGGTTATAGAAGACTTATTGGAGGACTATGTCTGGGTAAGCTGTGACCAACTAGACGATGACCTAGTTGGAAACAGTAGCGAAGCCTTGAGGGGTATAGTTCAAGCAACCCCCATTAGAAGAGACTTAGACGCCACAACCAGTCGGAGATCCCAGTCAATGCCGCCTTGATTGCAAAAAAAACTCGGAGTCCCTTCGGGCTTAGTTTCCGAGGCACCGAAAAACCTAAGTATTGCAGGAAACAAAGGATGAGGAATGGAATAAGTGGTGTTATACACCAATCACGAGACTTCACCTTGGCGTGATGTGATGACTTGCGTGCCTCCACGACCCTGCGAGCTACACAGGATGGGTTTATGAAACCAGGAGATCTTATCATGCCTGGAAGATCAATGGGTGGAGGTCAGATGAAGTTCAGTCTCCTGGTCCTTCAGGTTGTGGATTTGCCTGGAATTGGCGTTTCAGTCGGTAAAAAGCGGTGGAGGAGTAATCGAT